GTGACATAAATATACTTTATGACCTTTAGATTAACTTTATTGCTAATATATTTTTATTTTTTTACAGATTGATGTGTATTGCAGGATGTTCATGATACATTTCAAATAATTATAAAATTTTATCAAGTTCAGCAATGGATATCACAGTAAAAGATGCAGGTAGAGGAACAAGATGGGTGTGTCCAAATGATAGACATTTAGCACTGAGAGCAAAGTGAGTATAAATGCACATTTAATATCTATCCAGTAAGGTAAATTATGTTTAAAAATTTCATATAAATAAAACTACTTATGATGATCAGATATGTAATTGATTGCATATATGAACTATTACTCATTATAATAGAAATTGTTATGACTTATTTTATGAGTAGCAGTTTAATTTGTAAAACAAGTACTATGTCGTTAATAAAATATCAATAATTAGGTTGCGGACTGGCTGGTCTGTAAAAACTGGTTCTTTAGACTCAAAGTGGGGTACTTATTCTAATTCCTATTCAAGTAGTACAAATCGATGTGCACAATCATTTGTACTTAGTGAAGAAGAACAGCAGACAATCATACAGGTAAATTTTCACATTATGAACATTATTGTTCTTCTTCGTCATTCCTCAAATTTCAATTTTAATTTATTCAGGATAAATTTAAATATTTGTAGAGTAATCAAATTTAATGTAACATTTTACATAATCTTCTTATTTTAAATTTTAATTTCCGGAAAAATTAGAAACATGTTTGATAGCACAATCCGAGAAGAAGTAAATCTATATGAAAAAAATAAGTCGAAAATGTAAAGTAACATCTTTTCATAAGAAGCTTCATTTTCCGAATAAATCAATGTTGAAGATCCATCGAGTATATACGCTTGCACTTACGCTTCTGTGAACGTTTTCTAGAGTATTTCCTGTTTTCGTATGTTCTAATGGAAGAATAATTTTCTCTTTAAGTTATTCCCTACTTGCATTCTCGTTGTGCTACAGAAGAGACTTGCCCTGGCTCCATAAGTAAATATTTTACCATTACGACCAATTCAGCAAGGATATTGGTTCTTACTTTTATTTCATTGTTTGTCATACATTATCTAATGTGATAAACCCAAACAGCAATACAGATAGTTTGCAGTGATATTTGTTAGACGTAAGTAGGCGCATTTAACTGAGATCATGTGCAAGTGCACGTGTACTTGGCAGATTTTCAATCGATTTATTCCAAAATGAAGCTTTGTATAAAAAAATGTTACTTTACATTTTCAACTTATTTTTTCACGTAGATTCATCAGTTTTCCGGTTGTAATACCAGTTCAGAAACACTCTGTATGATAATATAATATATTAAATGTATATTATAGAATATAGAAAATACATTAAAAGCTCTAAGTTAATTTCTTAAATAATAATTAAACAATTAGAATAACATGGTTAAACTTATATTAATTTATGATTATTTGCCAATTTCTTAGGTAATTCAAAGAGCCGAAGCTTTAGATTTATCAGAACAAGAAAGAATTGGAAGATTGGTAGAAAGATTAGAGAATATGAAACGTAATGTCTGTATCGTCACTGCAACAAGATTGAATGAAAGAAAAGGCTGCAGTAGCCGGTGCTCTAACAGTGCGCACTGTGTGTGTTCTTGCGCTCTTTGTGGTGAAAAATTTGGTGCAGTATTAGGCGCATCACCAAATCTTTGTAAAGATTGCCGAAAGTACATATGCCAGAAATGTGGTATCGAAACTAACGAATTGAACTCAGCACTTTCGAATGTTTCCACTACGAAAGATAGAACGCAAGGAAAAACAACTATGCAACGAATCGTTAGACGATCGAGCAGTAGTCAAAGGCAATTTCTTTGTCGAATATGTGCCGAAACTAGAGAAATGTGGAAAAAAAGTGGTGCTTGGTTTTTTAAAGGGATGCCAAAATACATTTTACCAGAGAAAAGGGTATAGCAATCTATATATGTATAAATGTAGATGAAACAAAAGGAAACCTAAAATCTCACATTAAGTAAAGTGTTGTTATATTTCTAATATTTATTAATATATTTTGTTTTAAATATAGGAACGTGGATGGTCGCGATCTATGCATAAGACATCCACTTGGACAATCGGAGGTAACAAATCTCTTGAATCGACAGAGCTTCAAGATTCTTCTTCTGACGAAGAAGCAACGCGACGTCTGGCATTAGCACGAAGACAGTCTAATTCATTCTCTAATTTACAAAGAAATCAAGACAGTATTACCAACAAAACTTACTCAACTCCATCAAATTCTGCACAATCGACTAGTAGCGCATTTAAATCCTCAGAGCAACGAACGAATGGTCTTACATCGTTAAATAGTCGTGAGGAATATTCAGACCAACTGGATAGATCTACTCTCTCTATTCCATCTCAGTGCAGTCGTCTTTCACCAACTCCTACAAGTCCTCGTTTACGAACAAGTCCAAAATCCAGTAATGATTCACACATTGAACAACGTGTATCTTTTGAAGATGAAATCACTGACGAGAAGAACAAAAAGTTTAATGATAATAACGATTTAAGCGAGGGCGCTCGTAAATTTGAATTCAGTTCGTACGATCAATCAAAAAGATCTCAGGTACAATCACCGAGGTACGTAAGAATAATAAATAAAAGAGTAGAAGTTTAGTTGATATCAGTGAATACGTTTATAGATCGAATTCTACAACGGTTCCAACAACACCGACAACGACAATTGTACCAGCGGAACAAGTTCCAGAACAACTTCAAATTCACGAGAAATGTATGGATCAAGAAAAAAGTCGAACCTGTCTGGAACAGGAGAGCTTGTTCAGTTTTCGCAGCAACAATCAAATCGACTTATCGCGTCAACAAATGCCGGAACACGGTAGATATATAAATTAATCTTATAAAGTGACAAAAAGTTTAAATTAAATTAGTTAAAATAAAAGTTCTGTAACATAAGATTGATCGCCGACGCGGATTTTGTCATTGGCGACAAAAGCTATTTCGTCATATTCGATCGCTCCCCGAAACTAAAAAACTGACCCGTCGATTCCACCGTTCGCAACCGAGCTATCCGCCGCGCCCCCCGCACGCTTTTACTCACGGACAAAGGCAGATCACGCTTTCCGCGAATCTTTCGTGCTACAACGCAGCTGCTTCAGCGTTTCTCACGGTCTAATGGTCACGCCGCGACAAGGCAAGCGCGACGGAATCGACGGTTCATGCGTTCGGTTCTCTGTGACCTTACAGTTCCAATTAAAAAATTTAATTATTTGAAAATCAACAGATGCAATATCTGTGCAAATGGATTTATTAATGTAAGTTGATAAAATTAACATAAACGAATTGCGTTCTTCAAACTAGAAACCGGACAAAATTATGGAACTCTGGAAGTCTCCTTGCGATACGATCCAGCAGCACAACGTCTCCAGTGCAAAGTGGAACGAGCCCGAGATTTACGGCCAATGGATAATCATGGTCTCGCCGATCCATTCTGCAAACTCAACATATTGCCAATAGACACAGTTGCGACTACCAAACGACTTCGAACAAAGACAATCCACAAAACGCGGGATCCAGAGTTCAACGAGATTCTAAACTTCTACGGAACAACAGAAACCGATGTATGAAAAATACAAGTTTTTTTTTATACAAGTAAACGATAATTGTGTAAAATACCACAACAATTAGAAACACAAAAAATTCAAGAAAGAATTAATGTTTTGCAATAGATATGGAATGGCAAAGCATTGCACATCCTGATACTTCAGGACGATCCAGTAGATCAAGACTTTCTAGGAGAAGCGAGGTTTCCTCTGCACGAGTTACAACCACGTCAAACGAAACACTATAATGTTCCACTGCGAGATCACTATCCAGTATGTATACTTATAAGTATAGCTTTTTTGTTTCTTTTGGACACTGGACATTACGGATTATTTTAAACGCTTTAAGATACTATATTTTGTTACATTAATTATACTGTTCTTTGTTTAATTTTACGCAATCCAATTTGTATCATATTAATTACTTTCTTTTATATATTCGACGTTTCAGTATCATTCAGAAGTTTTATACACTTCGAATTACTGATTCTCATAAGTATAATCATTTTTCGCGTCTTCAATTTTTCGCGACGGCCGACTTTACTTACATTATTGCAGACACTAAGATATAAGAGCTCGACGTTGGCATAGGTGGACAACGAAGAGGCAGCTTGGGGCGTGTGTTCCAGTGGACGGGGACAGATTCAAGTGAGTCTAAGTTACTGTACAAGACGGCGAGCGTTGACGGTTACAGTTCACCGAGCTACAAATCTTCTTCCTATGGACAGTAACGGATTTTCTGATCCATTTGTTAAGCTGTGCCTTATAGAAAATGTGACAAACAATCATCGACAACGTGTCTTCGATTATTCAATTGCACGTATTACCGCTAAGAAGCTGGTATCGAAAAAAATCACAGGTCGCAATTCACAAAGTACAACTATTAAGTGGAAAACATTAAACCCCGAATGGAATGAAGAATTCGCTTTCGCTACTCGATTAACAGACCTTACGAAATTCACGTTATATCTTACAGTATGGGACAAGGACTTTGGCAAGAGTAACGACTACCTCGGTAATGCATTACTTTTATTAATAAAATAATTACATCATATTTTATAGAAAAGAGGGCTGTTGTTTCGAATGGTCCCAGTGGTTAATCGAGATGAAAATTGGTGAGTGTTATGAGAGGTGTGAAAAGACCCCAAATATTGAATTTTAACTTCGGGAATTCACCCGTTCGGAAGATACAGGTTCTCATGTATAAGGCATTTTACAGTTTGAATAGACTCAGAATCAAATTGCTCTATGATATAGGTATAGTCGATTTACAGTTTTAAATATTGTAATGCACTGCTGTTCGCTTCGCTGAGGGTCCCCGTGGAGGTTTTGGTGGGTAGAAATCCTACACTAACCCTTTCTCTTTCTCAAGGGAGCGGGGTTTCTTTGGAAGATTTCCTTCACGTTAACAAAAAAAAAGGGTTAGGTTAGGTTAGACCGTGTATTCTAAATGGGTGGATTCCTAAAGCTAAGATTTTATATTTGGAGTCCACTCACACCCCTCATAACACCCATCAAGTTTCATCTCGATCGGCCACTGGAGCCATTCCTAAAAGAGATTTTGTAAATTTATGTACGTTTATCATAATAATGTATTCATTATTTTTATTTAGGCGGACTTGAATTAAGTTGTAATAGCAAAGGAGCACGATTACGACATTGGATAGATGCTATCAAATTTCCGGATCATCGTCATCGAGCTTGGCATAACTTAACTGATACTATTTTGCCTACAGAATAATTTATATTTCTACTTTTGTTAATATTTTATTCAAAACATTTTAATAAGGTCTGTAATCGATATGCACTATAATCTGCGAAATATAATTTATTTACATGTGATCTGTACTGTTGCTCAAAATGTACTATTCCAAAAAAAGTTAACACAAAATAAAAACATTATATTAT